TGCACTGGACCTGAACCGGGTAGCCCCGATGGAGATGGAGCACGCTCCGGATCCCCCAGATAGGCCGAGGCCGATGTCGAGTACTCTCGACGAAGAGTGACGGGAAGGAGTCGGACGGGACTGTCGGGACAGGAGTCGAGACAGGACTGGATAACTCGGCTTGCGCTGGTCGGCCTTTATATACCGGCGAGCGTCCCCCACCACGCGGTATCCGCGTGGGCGACCCCTCCACGCGGCACCCGCGTGGGCGGCCCCCACCGAGCAGCGCACTGCAGTGGCGCCGAACCTCAGGGCGCCGGGTTTAACTGGCGTAGTAACGCGAAACGTTACAAGGAGAAGACAGTTGCTCTATCATCTACGGAGGCCGAGTACATGGCCTTATCGGAAGCCACGAAAGAGGCCGTGTACTTGAAGCGACTCCTCATCGACATCAGCTTCAACGAAACGTCACAGATTAAAATCTTCTGTGATAATAATGGTGCTCGATTGTTGGCAGAAAACCCCGTGTTTTACAATCGAAGTAAGCACATTGACGTACGCCATTATGTACCCACAGTCATCAAAGAGGTGATGTCAAAGTCGAGTTCACTCCCACCACCGAGGTGGCAGCGGACATTCTCACCAAGGGGACATCCAAGCAGAAACATATGAGATGTTTGGAACTTCTGGATGTTACCAACGTCGAGTCATCCTCTGCGAAAGAGTCTCTTAATCGAAGGGGTGTATGGGGCGCAACTGATTTCATAAAAAGCGTCTATGGCGATTCGCGGGAGACTCGCATTCTGCGACATCTACTAAACTAATGTTTCCCGGATATATCACTAATTCCCTATACTAAAGAAATCCCTCTTGTATCTTATCTATATATTAATCATAATCTTTGTTCGTTTCCTCAAATAGACGTTACAACGGTCTTACAGTCGTTTAAGATATTTGCTGTAACTCACGAAATAAATATATTATTACTCTCTTCTGTGTAAATAATCACGCTATTCATTATCCGTCACGTGCCGCTCTAACAGATTTCGATATATGTATATACATATCGATCGTTGTTGTTCAGCTGCAGCACTATAAAATTAATAAATACGGTTAATTAAGATTAAATAAAAATCAGCTAAAAGAGCAATAAATAATTATAAAATTAATCGATCAATATTATATATACAAGGTGTCCTAAAACAAACTTTTATCCTTAAAATGTCATATTCCTAACTCAATTCTGAGAAGATTTTTCCTTTACCAAAATTTTATCCGAAACTTAGTTTTCAAATTATAACAAGAAATAGTTAGCGAATTATGGGCCGCGTATGGAAGGTAGACAGGGGCGCGCAACTTACTGTCAGACGCAGGCGGTACACGGGGCCCTCGCGACGATCAGCTGACTGCTACACGCGCATACACATGACATTTTAAGGACATGCGATTACGCACGCACGCACGCACGCACGCACGCACGCACGCACGCACGCACGCACGCACGCACGCACGCACGCACGCACGCACGCAACTGAGTCGACAAGGCACACAGGGG